CTTGGGTTGTTACCAACATCTGGTGAAAATTTCATGTCATTAGCACCTCTAGTAATATATTTACTGAGAAAAAGGGTGACGTCTTCAATACTTATTTTACCCACTGTATATCAAGGCTGCACAAAGCTTTTCCCCAAAATGAAAATCTATCTGAGGGCTGCGGCCAAATGTAATAATATAATTCATGAAATACAAATACTTCTTAAGTACAGTCCTTTTATTTGAATGATTCTGTCCTGCTGGAGTGTGACATGATTTGTTTGTGTACGAAGTAATACAGTATCAGAGTTTTATATATTTATACTTTCATTCAACCACAACTAAATTCACTTTAAGGGGCACAGTTTATATGGATAGTAATTATTTTTTTACAATAACAATCTGGAAAGAAAACAAGCAAAAATGAATAAAATAAATGACTTTCTACTTCTTGCCTTTTTTAATTGTAAGGAGTAGAAAGTACAGATAATTGTTTGAAAATGTAAGAAGCAGAAGTAAAAAAATAGGCTGAAAAATAATTACTCAAGTAAAGTACAGATACCCAAAAATTCTATTTAAGTACAGTAACAAAGTATTTGTATTTAGTTACTTTACAACTCTGTGTTTAACATCCAACCCTTCAAAGCGCTCACTCTCTTTCAAATTCTCATGAGATGTGACCAAATCTCGTTCACAATAGTCACGTGTTCTTTGGGTGCCGTGACCCGGCAATCGGAAGATTATCTCACAAGACTTTAGGTTTACTTTCTCAAAGCACACTGAAGTAGGAGTTGTTATCACTAGTGCGTAAAAAAATAGATGAAAATTAGCAAACAATGAAGCAAAAACCTATTATTTTTATCCAGAGTGGGAGGAGGACACTCTTTTTGTTTTATCCAATTTAAAAGTCTGTTGTGCTGCCTTGTGCAAAAAGGTAGCTTGGATTGGCATTTCAAGACAATGCACAAACACTACGTGACGGATTTCGCTCCTAAAATCACTTTACGAGCCAAGACAGTTAAATAGCTGAAAAACAAGCAGTCATTTTTGACCCTGCTCAACACCAGTGGTGGACAGTAACAGAGTACATTGACTTAAGTACTGTACTTAAGTAAATTTTTTGAGTATCGTTACTTTACCTCAGTAAATGTTTTTTTTTTATTTTTGGAACTTATGACTTTCACTTCACTACATTTCCAAGACAAATATTGTACATTCAGCTCCTCTACATTAGTTACTTGTTAATTTTGGCTCAACATAGTTTTGTAATCCGCTGTTGCTGTTTTTCTTTCTTGATGTTTTTGATTTCTTGATGTAAATGTAGTTGGCTGCACGCTATGTTCCTCACAAGGGGAACCAATCACAGTCATAGCTCACCCCAGTGTAATTCAGAATTACGTCATCCTCATTAATGGTCATGAGCTGAGCCTGAGCTCTCACCTTCATTTCAAACAGAACCCAGCAATGGAGACGGTTGAAGAAACTTAAGCAGGGAAACCAACAGCCTTACCTGTGGTGGTGGACAAAGTTGATATGGCCGTATCTTAGCTCGATGTTTGAGATTTCAGGACTGAAAAATAGTTTGTATCAGTTTAAATGTCTTCTGTGTTCACCGTGAATAAACTACATTTCTGCATTTAAGAACTCACCACTCACTTTATTGTATTTTTATGCTGAAGTTTTTAAAGGTGGTGAATTTGTGTGGTTGAGTGGTTCTATGTGTCGACACATCAGGTGGTTTCTGAGAGTTACAAGGTTCTGTAAAATTACTCTGTAAACAATACAACAATGTACTGATATTAGACATTTTAATTGGTACTTTTGAACACTTGAGTATTTTTAAATGCATGTACTTTTGAATATTTAAATATTTTCAAAAGTAAGTACTTCAGTATTATAACCTGAGTAGATTTTTGACAAACTTTTACTTGTTGTTGAGTAAGATTTGAGTAAGATTTGACCATGAGTATCAATACTTTTACTCAAGTACTAGAGTTGAGTACTTTGTCCACCAATGGTCAGCACCACAGGTAAGGCTGCTACGATAGCCTCATACCGGTTAGCTGTATCTTGGCTCAACACAAAAAGTCTTTCAGCGATGATGAAATTTTGAAAGAAGCATTAATTGAGGCTGCGGACGCACTTTTCTGTGATTTTAGAAATAAAAGTGAGATTGTGGTTGCTAAAAGACATACAGTTGTCCACAAATACTGTGACTTGGCGATGTGAGGGAATGGCTGTGGATGTGGAGGAGCAGCTAAAGAAGGACATCGAACAATGTGAATGTTTCTCTCTTCAGTTTGTTGAGTCGACCTACATGGTGGATGTGTGTGTGTTTTGTCTGATAGGTGGTGAACCAGGTGGGTGCTTTGAATGGCCCTTTGAAGCTGGCAATCTGGCCATTGAGGGATGGAGCCCTTAACCCTTTAAGCCCACGAGATTTTGGTCTCATCTGTGTCAGTTCACAGTTTTTTGTGTCACACATCCTGGTCCTTTAGAAAGCCAGACTTATTAAACACAGATTGACAGATCCTACAATGTTGATGTTCAGTAATGCAACAGAACTGATGCAGTCTACCAAAAGTAACGAAAAGGAGACAGTTATTTTATAGCAGTGATTAATTTTGCTCATAGAAAGTTTGACATTTACATCCCATTATATAGGTCCTTCTAAAAAATTAGCATATTGTGATAAAGTTAATTATTTTCTGTAATGTACTGATAAACATTAAACTTTCATATATTTTAGATTCATTACACACCTAATGAAGTAGTTCAAGCATTTTATTGTTTTAATATTGATGATTTTGGCAAAAAAGAAAAGAAAAATCAAAAATCTCTATCTCAAAAAAATTAGCATATCATGAAAAGGTTCTCTAAATGACTTATTAACCAAATCATCTGAATCAACAAATTAACTCTAAACACCTGTAAAAGATTCCTGAGGCTTTTAAAAACTCCCAGTCTGGTTCATTACTCAAAACAAAACCACAATCATGGGTAAGACTGCTGACCTGACTGCTGTCCAGAAGGCCATCATTGACACCCTCAAGCAAGAGGGTAAGACACAGAAAGACTCCGTGCACAGGCATGTCCAGGAAATGGGCTACAGGTGCCTTATTCCTCAGGTCAAGCCACTTTTGAACCAGACACAGCAGCAGATGCACCTGACC